GGACCAACAGCTGCTTGTCCCACCTGGCAGTGCAGTGTGGGGATGGGGGTGGGGACCAACAGCTGCTTGTCCCACCTGTCAGTGCAGTGTGGGGACGGGGTGGGGACCAACAGCTGCTTGTCCCACCTGGCAGTGCAGTGTGGGGATGGGGGTGGGGACCAACAGCTGCTTGTCCCACCGGCAGTGCAGTGTGGGGTCAGCACAGCCCAAGCTGAGTGAAGCCCTGGCACGGCCGCTTATGCTCGTGTCTCTTTCCGCATATGTGACACAGGGACAGTAACGGCAGCCTCCTGGTCAGGTGGCTGTGAAGGTTAAAGGGGTTGATTGTAGTGGCAACACCCACCGTCCCAGTAAACTTCAAGCACCTGTGTATTGTCTGCACAGGCGCGGGTCGGCTTGCATGGTGCCACCTGCTCAGGGCACATGCACTGCCCCTCCCCGTGCCCACGCCCCGCCCATCTGTGGGTCTGTGTGGGGAGGGGGCACGGGTCCCACTGCTCCCCCTTGCTGAGGGCTGCCCTTTCTCTCTGTGTGTGCGACAGAAATGATCAAGGAGAAGAACAAGCCCGTGGGGCCCGCCCGAGCCAGAGGCCCCCGGGGCCGAAAGAGGAGGCCTGGGGAAGCAGAAGAGACAGTTGCCCCTGAGCTGAAGGCGGCCAGCCTGGACACCTGTAGGGACCTTCTGAGGTCCATACTGACTCACTGGGAGCCTGTGTTCCCCGGCCCCAAGCCCTCTACGGAGGCCACAGATGGGGCCGCCCCTGAGAGCGATGCTCCAGGCCCCGTGCATGCCGTGGCCTCCCTGGCGGCCAGCTGGGTGCTGCGGACTGTGGCCGAGCACCCACCCACCAGGGCTGAGGCTGCTGGACTCCTCAGCTGGCTCAAGAGCCACATTTTGCCGCAGCCAGTGGTTGTGGCTGACCTTCTCAGGGACAACGTGGTGAGGAGTGGACTATTTAAGCTATACAGCCGGCTCTGCAACGCGGAGGGGCTGGTGGGGCCCGCACAGGGGGTCGCCTGCCTGTTCAACACAGTCATGATGCAGCTGGTGGCCGCCCACGTTCCCGTGGGGAGCCCCTTCCACCTGGCCGTTGAGGGCCTGTGCCTCACTTCTCTGACGGAGGAGGATGAAGCCGCGAGAGGTAAGGTCCCTTCTTTGGATGGGAGCGGGCAGCTTCTGGTCCTTAGAGCCCCAATCCCCTTTGTTTACATGCCGAGGCAGCCCCTTGCCACGCGTGGCAGCTGCAGAGGGCTCGTCGCTGGCACTGAGCAGGAAGGAAGAGGACATCTGTGTGGAGAGAGGCGCCACCTCAGGGCCTCCTGCCAGCCAGAGGCTCTCCCGCCTGGGCAGCTGTTGTTTCCCGTGCTTGTTTGACCGTGACCCAAATGTAGTTATGTTTCACATCGGCCACGTGCGTGTGTGTACGTGTGTAAGTTTTGTGTGTGTGTGCACATGTGCATGTCTGTGTGTACATGTAAGACTCGTGTGTATGCACATGTACGGGTACGTATGTGTCTCGTGTATGTGCGCATGCGAGTGTATATGTGTATGCATGTGGTTCTCGTGTGTGTACACATCTGTGTGTATAAGTGCATATTTGTATACATGTGTGAGTTGTGTGCACGTGTGTACATGTTTGTGTGTACATGTGTGTAGGTGTGTGTACATGTGTGGTGTGTGCGTGTATGTATGTATGCGTGTGTGATTTTTGTGTGCACATGTGTGTATACGTATGTGCACGCATGTGTGTGTGCATATGTGCGTGTATGTGTGCACGTATATATGTATGTATATATGTATGCATGTAAGTCATGTGTATGTACGTATATGTGTATATGCATATGCACATACAGTTTATCTGCTCAGCCTTTAGCAGGTGATTCATGAAGGTGGGAATGAACAAATGAATGGCTGTGTGAATGAATGAGCACCAAATGCTTTAAAAAGCTTGGGAGAACAGGAGGGAGGCTGAAGTGGCCACGGACACCCCCAGACGCAAGGGGAATAGGGGCGGGCAGGGCCAAGAGCCAGGGCAGCTGAGCTCACGGGTAGCAGAAACGACCTGCTTTTTTCTCCTCTGTCCACAGTCCAGAGATTGGGCCTTTTTGCCCATGAAACCCCTTCCCAGGGCCACTGAGGAACTGTGTAGAAAGGGTCTGTGAAGCTGTTCTCTAGGCTCCAGCTTTGCTTCTTCGTGTGGGTGGGCAGAACCAAGCAGACTTAGGGATCCACACACGTTCATCAGAAAAAAGATAAATTTTAAAATGAACAAAAAAAAGATTAATGCAGAAGTCAAGCAAAGGCAGAATGAATTTTTTATCCATGCCCTGAAGCATGTGGCGGTGCATCGTGGTGCCCGGCAGAGCCACTGTGCGTGGTGGGGTGGACGGCTCCCTTCAGGCTGTGCAGGTTTACGCCTCACGGCCCTGTTGTCTGACCCTCCCTCAGCCGCCGCCGCGTTCCTGGTGTCTCTGTACATCAAGGACCTCTGGCTGGGAGCCCCGCGGCCAGACGCCCTCTTGACCCACATCCGAATGATCCATGATGCCACAGAGGAAGCACCCAGTGGTGGTGAAAGAAGCCGGGCCCCGGAGGACGCCATCCTTCTGCTGTGCAAGGACGTTGCCGCCTCCACCACGGATGCCTGATTCCCGATGCCCACCTGGCTGGTGCCACAAGCACCAGCTTCTAGAAGTTTGGCTGAGTCAGGGATGTCATGGAGGCACGTGAGAGGAAAACCACAGTGCACTGACTTGGTTCCCTGACAGGAAGAGCTGAGAGGAAGTTGTTTATTTGGCCAATAAGTAGTAAACTCAGGGGACTGTGTGTGAAGTGGTCAGTTACAATAAGTGTGAGGCATTTGGGGGCCGTGGCTCATCAGTGCCCTTTCTCTTGGGGTGTCCTCGTTCTTCAAAGACATTACCTCAAGTCTCAACTTCTGAGTGCTTAAGGGATACATGGACATTAAGACTAAAATGGCTCGAAGAGCATGAAGACAGGTGTCTAAATAGTCTTCTTTCTAGAAGATGTCATTTCAGAAAGTTTTGAATAACTTCTCAAATAAGTTCCTGTCAGTGTTTATTAATTATTTTGCTAAGTAAAAAGGATTTTACGCTAAATCCTCAAAAGTGTAAAGTTGATTTGACCTTTGCCTGTATTTTTTAAAGTTGTGTTTCAAAGAGGAGCACTGTGACTTTTATAACTTCTTGTAAATAAATGTCTATTTTTGTAAGGTTGTTGTGTTTTTCTCTAATTGATGTTAACAGGCTACTTTTACCCCACAGAGGCCTGCATTTCATAGGTCAGGATTTGACTTTTAAAGGTTCGTGTATTAATTGTTGTGGGAGCAGACAAAAGTCAGATATGACATTTCATGAATTTCACAGGTAAGATTCCACAGGCTTTCCCTCGGCTGTTCTAAAACAAGTGCAGCTCAGCCAGGTGAACACGGAGTCGATAAACATGATAGAAGTTTCTACTTCCTAGTTCGTGACAAGGTGCCTGGGGCCTTAAAAGCTTGCAAGGGCCCATCCAAGGTACAACTGGTCTCTGTTCACCTGGAGCAGCAGAGGACGAAGGAGAGTCAGGAACAGGAGGAGGACATGGAATGTGCAGCTGATTGCCTCCATGAACAACCGCCTCCTTTGCCATGAGGCTAGAGGAACTGAATGGTGTCCAGCAACTGGTACTGAGTGTTTTGATCAGAGATTCCATAGACAAATCCTGACCAAAAGGGGGAAAATGCAGAACAAAATTTCAGATTTTCATCGACTCCAGACTTCAGGGTGGATGAACCCCTGAAACTATTGCCCTGAGATTATCTTTAAACCTTAAACCAAAAATATCCCCTGAAGTCTTCTTAAAACCAAACAGTACTCTAGCTTAATTGGTAAAGAATGCCTGCCTTGAGCATTGTGCTCTTTTGAAGAACTATCTGGGATCAAATTGACAACAGCAACCCAAAAGGTTAAATAAGAAGCTTAGGGGCAATGAATTTATGTTAATGGAGGAGGAACAATTTGGAAAAGGAGGGTGAAGATGGTTGCATAACTTGAATGTAATCTGTGTCACTGAATTGTACATGTAGAAACTGTTGGTGTATGTTCTGTATATATTTTCAACAACAAAAATAAATTATTTTAAAAAAATTACAGAAGTAATAGTTGAAGCTAAAAAGTGACATAGTAAAGATTAGTGAATTAACTTTTTTTTTTTAATTTGTGTATATTTTATTTTGCTACTGTTCCCAAAGCAAACATAAGCAGTTGCATAAACAGGTTAAGTGTACAAAGTAAACCCAGTGATATTTGAATCTCCTGTCCTACGCTTGTTTTTGTTGTTTGCTGTCGATTCCAACTTAGTGACCCTTTGTGACAGCGTACAACTGCCCCCTCATAGTGACCCTATATAACAGAGTAGAACTGCCCCCTCACAGCAACCCTGTGTGACAGAGTAGAACTGCCCCCTCACAGCGACCCTGTGTGACAGCATAGAACTGCCCCCTCACAGCGACCCTGTGTGACAGCATAGAACTGCCCCCTCATAGCGACCCTGTGTGACAGAGTAGAACTGCCCCCTCACAGTTACCCTGTGTGACAGTAGAACTGCCCCCTTCACAGCGACCCTGTGTTTCAGTGTAGAACTGCCCCTTCATAGTGACCCTGTGTGACAGAGTAGAACCGCCCCCTCACAGTTACCCTGTATGACAGTAGAACCGCCCCCTCACAGCGACCCTGTGTGACAGAGTAGAACTGCCCCCTCACAGCGACCCTGTGTGACAGTAGAACTGCCCCCTCATAGTGACCCTGTGTGACAGAGTAGAACCGCCCCCTCACAG